AGTATCTTATGTTAAATGTTTCTGATGATGACCTTCTCCATGCCAGATTTTCTAGGGCAAATAATCGTATTTTCTTCTTTGTGATGTGTCTAACTTCTAATAACAGTGCCTCATGTGATACGCGCTCATTTAAGTGTCTGTCATACTGACAAGAATTTGTCTCTAGCATAAAATTTCTTTGCATAGCAGGTAGTTATACATTCGAAATTTATGTTTCATAGATTTCTTACAAAAATGCTTTGAAAGTAGTTTGCCTTTCTTTTCTATTTTACGTCATGGGAGTGTTTTGAAGCTACAGGGGGAGCTTAATTTAACACCAATCTCATAGCTGTAATATCAGGGACATAAAACTTGACCTTTGATCTAGGACTCACTGTAGTTTGGAATCTGGTAATTGGAAAATTCTGTGAATGTGTAGAATGCCTTTAACAAAAAAAGAGAGTGCTTTTTAATAGTGTGTATGAATGTATCTTAAAATCATGAAATAGACAAAAAGTAGAATCATCTATACTCTGCTATTCAGAGGTTATCTCTGCTAACCTACTGCAAAAATTGGATAATATTATACCTGCTGTTTTGTAACCAACTTTTAAGTCCCTGTGTTTCTTTCTAATGAACTGTTATTTTGCATTTATCCAATAAAATCGAGTTTCTGTGGTTTTATTATAAATATAAAATTTTTAAGAAAGTGTTACATTTAATTATTTACTTTTATTAATTTTCAGAGTAAATGAGTCATCACATTATGATCTAGCCTTTACAGATGTACACTTTAAACCTGGTCAGATTCGAAGGCATTTTATTGAGGTTCCTGAGGGTGCAACATGGGCTGGTAGGTAACGTTAAAATCTGCGTGCCCACTTATCTCTGTTTGCATTCTGATGACTGTAACTATGTGAGGTTCATTTATCTGTAACATATATTTCCCTGATACTACTATACGTATTTGGGCACCTTAGATTTTCTATAAAGTTCAAAACGTTTTAAGATCTAGTACTATTTTGCATTGGCTCATACAGCAGATTAGGGCACCTTAAGATCTCTTTAATATTTAAGATTTGAGCTTAGTTTAGAATAATGCCTTATCAGGTAATGATTTTTTAAAAATCAGTTTAAATGCAGCTGTTGCTTAAACCTCAAACCGTTAAACTCTTAGAATTTTAGAAATAGAGCTTTAATTTAAAGTTCTATAATCAAATTAGAAGCTTATAAAAGATTTTCACTTCAGTGTCTCTGAAATTTTGAGGGTAAATGATTGCCTAAAACAGTGCTCTTGAATTAACATGTTACAGTCCTATGAGAGTGCTCATGTCATTCTTTTATGCAAGAGCTATGGGTAATACCATATTTTCCTTCATAATTTATATGTCCTAAATTTACAATTTAGCAGTCACTATGGGGAGGGGGGTGGTATGTCAGCTGTCAAAGCTCACTCAAAGAAGGCAAATATGGGCAGTCAAGAAAGTGTCACCCAATTTAAATTAGTAGCCAGCATTATTGATACTTCTTGGATTTGGCCCCTCTGCTAAGCACTTTATAGAGATTATCTTGTCTAGTCCCATCAGAACCCTATAAGGTAGATAGGTGTTGTTAGTAAAAATGGCTTATATTTCACTTGGGAGTGTGTTTTCTATACTATTTTGAAAGTACAGATATATTTACATCTAAGACTTGATTTAAAATTAAATATTGGAATCACACATGTGTAACCTGGTTTGGAAAGAGCTGGTTGTATTCGGTTCTTCATACCATCTTCTGGTCATCTATCTGTATGCAGTCTGTCTGTCACCTGGTATCACAGGAAATGCAAGACTTTTCTTGTTTTATGGAACTAGGTAAGGGCAAAATAATAGCAAAAGCTGAGAGCTAAAGCAATGAATTAAACAGCACCCAATATAGCCTGTTAATTTGCACACTGGATTATATGGAGCTGTTGCAGCATTGAGAGGCTTCTGAGGATTATCAGGGGTTGTACTAGACTCATTCATAAGCATCTGTATGCCAGGACCTTTTCACTGGGCTAAGGTGGTGAGCTGCTTAGACAAGGACCCTGCTTCCAGAGGCCTTAGGAACATCTAGTCCAAGATACTGAGTTAAGAAAATTGGATTAGAGGGAGGCAGTATGGAGTAGCAGCAAGGCACAGGCTTTGGAAACTGAGAGGTCTGGGTTCAGATCCACACTCTGCCATACACTAATGTTTACCTGGGTCAGGTTTCTAAATGATCTGAACTTCTATTTCAACTATAAATATAGTTTTTAGTCTGTTGTAAGGATTAGAGATGTTATAGAGTACTTGGTACATAACTTGTCTTCTTTGGGATTATACTGAAACTTGACAGTACTTTTGCGGGGTGGAGTCAGGAGTTGCTGCGTTGAACTGTTCTGGGATACCAGTCTCACCAGGTCCCTTGGAGTTATACAGCTCCAGGCTCTGGTGAAATGTGCACTGTAAATTAAAGAATACAAAGCTATGAGTAATTAATACTGAATTGGGTATTTGTTTAGTGATAAATGGCAGTCATTATAATGCCCTGATTATGATTGGTTTAGGTTGGTATTGAAAATAATTTGTTTTTTAAATAAAAATTATCAAATGACCCAAATGCAAGTAGTTCAGAGCATTTAGCAGTCTTAGTTTTATTTCAAATAATTAGAAATATTGTCATAACACTAGATTTTGTGTTCTTAGCAACTGACTAGGTTCTGAGAGCTCTGTGCCCACTTGGTTTTGTGAACCGTGGGATTGTTCCTTGCTTTAGTTCCCTTGGATTCGTTTAGCTGTTCTTTAGAGAAGCTTCCAATCCGGCACTGCAGTAATTGTGACTTACCTCCAGCACTGCCTCAGAGTAAAGTTAAGCATGTGTAGTCCTGTCAGGCTTTGCAGAAGCACACAGCACACAAGTGGACCAAAAGGAGAGATTAGGAAAAGTTACCAGTGAGGAACTGAGGCATGATAACAAATAGAGGTTTCCAAAAATATAACCTTCCTTCCTTGATCAGGAATTGATAGGTTTTCAGCTGAAACAAGGAGAGATTTTAGACAGTGCCCGAGTAGTATAGTTGCGTGTGCGTCTATGACAATTTGCTGTTTCTCGGTGTTCGCAGCATCATAGTGGTTCTTTTTAACACCAGTTTCTTTCTTTCCCATAGAAAATCTGCCCTTCTAACTTTATTAATATTTCGTTGATTGTTTGTTTTTAAGGAAATATATGCAGATTTCATTTGAGTGTGTCATTTTATTTTGATCCCTATTAATTCCCTAAATGGGAATTATTCAAGCCACTTTATGCCAATTTTAGGTCTTACAAGTTTAAAGCTTTGCTTCTTTCCTTCCTATTTTAGAAGTGACAGTGTGTTCGTGTTCTTCTGAGGTGTCAGCAAAGTTTGTTCTTCATGCAGTCCAGCTTGTGAAGCAAAGAGCATATCGAAGCCATGAATTCTATAAGTTTTGTTCTCTTCCAGAGAAAGGAACACTGACTGAAGCTTTTCCTGTCCTAGTGAGTTTAATTACAGTTTATAATCCTTAAACAATTTATTTACCTTTTCGGTATGGGCTAAGACTAGGTATTTGTATTTGATTTTATGGTTTGTATTAAGCACACTGGAATTGTGTATTTTTTTAATGCTATAAAAATGAAATAGGAAGATAGAAAATCGAATTAGGGTCCTTGAAACCAAGTTGGAGGTAAATATTCATCACTTTAATTCTTGAGTAGTGTAGTGAAAAAAACATACTTGTCTGGTAGATTCTGGTGCCTTGTAGTTTGGATCCTGATTTAGATTATTCCTTGAAGACTTGTTTGCATGCCACTTAATTTATTTTACTAATGCCAGGTTGTTAGGAAGCTATGAGGCTAATTTGCATTATAGGGAAACTGCTACTGCTTCATGTCTGAGTTATCTCAAATGATGGCAGATCTGCATTCTTGTCTGTGGTGATGGAAATGACTAGCCCTTCTTCCATGGAAGGTGAAAGTACTGACGTTCTTCCTTCAACTCGCTCCTTTGTGTTTTCAGATGGTTGCGGGATTTTCCCAGTATCTCTTTGTTTCTGGTTATTTTAATTTGTGTTCTTCCATGGATCAGTATTACATGATCCCATCTTTTTAAACTTTTAAATTCACTGATTACTAGAAAACTTAATTAAAAACTCAGTGCTAACCGCAGGTTTTTTTCCCCTTATGTTTATTTTTTAGAAGGGAGAAAGATGTAAATGAGTGTAACATCATTTCGTTTTGGTTGCCAAGTAGCTGTGAGCCCAAACTCAACTGTGCCTATTGAATATGCCTTACAAAGTTGTATCTTTCTTGTGTCATTATTCTTGATTATTTTTCTTTTGACCCTAATTTTTTATTCCACTTTGAAATAAGAAAAGCACATTTACTTTTGTCTGCTTTCAGAAGCTGTCTAGGACCTTTTATGACATATGCTTTTAAGAAGCATAGGATTATGAGTAAATAACTATGTATATTTAAATATCTGCACCATATCTCTGCAAATGATTTGTCTAACTCTTAGCATAGCAGTTAAAAGGTTTTCAAGTTTTTTTGCTACAAACAGGAAAAGTTTGAAAACAGAATTGCTCTGAAACAGCTAGTATTTATATTCTGTAATTTGAGAAAAAAAAGATATTTTATTTACTTTTATTTGCAGGGTGGAAAAGCGATTGAATTTTGCATTGCTCGTTGGTGGGCAAGTCTCAGTGATGTCAACATTGATTATACCATTTCTTTCCATGGGATAGTGTGTACTGCTCCTCAGTTAAACATTGTAAGTTCCACAACATTTTCTGTGATTTTTAATGTCCGTTACTTGTGTTACTGGAGAATAATTTCATTGGTGAGATTTAAACTTTAATAAGGGAAATTACCTATGGTTCTGAAAATAACAGTCGTCTTTGTGTGTGGGTACTTATAAACTTTATATTGGACACATTTATTTTAGGTACAAAATATTGCTTATTGTTACTAAAGTTTGAGAAAGTAATTTGATAAATACCTTTTGTAGCATGCATCGGAAGGAATCAACCGTTTCGATGTTCAGTCCTCCTTGAAATACGAAGATCTGGCTCCCTGCATAACTTTGAAGAGCTGGGTCCAAACACTACGGTATCATTCAATGTTTTAGGGGCTACAAATATTGAATATAGATGGGGGATCTCTTACCCTCTTATAAAGGAGACTTTTTAAAAAAAAATCAACAAGGATGCTAGTGGTAAGAATTTTATCCTTGCAGATCTCTGCAAGGCAGCCCCAGTATCAGCTTCTAGCTTCACTGTCCCACCTGAGCAGCAAAGTCAGAGATGGTCATGACTAGTTCGGATCAGTGGACGTTAACCTTTTTATTTCTTGCCATAAAATAGCAAGTTAACATTCTTTCTGATTATTTTGTGAATCCTAATGCAATCATTTTTAGAAGCTGCAATATTGACGTTTTTATTGAGTGGTAGAAACTTAAGTACTATAGTCTGCTGTTTGTGCCTCAGCACGTCCCTTTAGAAAACCAGGGCACCTTGACCTGTGTTCACACACTCACTGTGTCATAAAGATACCTGCTTTCTATTGTTTAGTCTGACCTTAACTCATCAGCGTGAAGCCTAGTCATAAGTGCATTGAAATAACCAATTAGGGACAAGAGTCAGTGACACAGTAATGCCTAAAGATATACTGCCTCCTAGAATTATCAATACAAATTAAAACCTCCAGCTTTTGAAGGTATATCCAACTTATATCCTCTTAATGTCTTCTTCCTAAATCTCAAAAATTGGAGCTAAATTTAAAGGAGTAACTATATTTCACTGACACTGTAAACTATATTTAAAACTTACTCTTCAGTGTCAGTTTTTTCTTTATAAAACCTGTATGTTAGTAACTTGCTTCAGAGGACTACTAAAAATATGAAATACCATTCCCTTGACCAGGAGGAGGGCTGAGTGTGGCCCTTGCTCCACTGTGGTGAGCAGCAGGGACCTGGGGTGGTCCGTGCTGTGCACAATCCAGCACTGTCAACAGTTTGCACAAGGGGTCCAAATCAGAACCTGTCCTGCAATGCTTTTAGAGTTGTCACCCTAGGGTTGGGATTTGGTTGTGTTAAGAGCTATTTGTTGACATTTGAAAATGTTTTTGTCATGAAAAGATTGCCTTTGTAATATTTATTGCAATATTTAAACTATGTATTTATATGATACAATCAAAGAATTATGTAAGTTAAGGAATAAAATATTGTAGAATATACTGAAAAGGATAGCTCTCAGGAAGGCTCATCTGTCACTTTCTGCAATAGGTTACAAATTTTGTTGCTTATGGTTTTGTCTCATTTGATGAACTCTTGAATCAAATTAGTTATGTAGTTTTCTCATTACAGCCCAGTGAGTGCAAAAACAAAACCTTTAGGATCAAGAGATGTTTTGCCAAATAACCGTCAACTGTATGAGATGGTCCTGACATACAACTTTCATCAAGTAAGTGTTTGCCTAGAAAATTATACCCTTAGGATGAACTTTTGTGTTTTATTTATGATTCATAAAGTCAAAAATGGAAGGATAGTGTATATGGTATATATGTGAAACAGAATCAATTAACATTGGTTAATTTGAAATTACTCTTTAGGAAATTATAATTTGTAATAAAGTACCATTTAGTATTAAAGCCTTAAAATGTAATTGAGTGGTGACCAAACCTTGAGCCTTAGTTTATAAAATCACTGATAGATGTCTAGTGGTGACCCAGGGGTTATTAGATGCCTCAGAAATACCTCTGCCTTCTGATGGTGGTAAGAGAGCAGTGAATTTTATGAGTGCCAAAACACTCTATGTTCTGTATTTTCAAAAATTTTACCACAACTATTTTTAGTATTTTTTTAATGAAAGTCTCATGTCAATAGCAATATTAAAAATTTGTATCAGAAATTATATGCAAATCATGCCAAGTACTTTTTTTTATAGCCCAAGAGTGGGGAAGTAACTCCAAGCTGCCCATTACTTTGTGAACTATTATATGAATCTGAATTTGACAGCCAACTGTGGATTATTTTTGACCAGAACAAAAGACAGATGGGTTCAGGCGACGCCTATCCACATCAGGTATAAAATTGATGGTGATTTTTAGAATTAACAGGAGCTGTTTTCTGAACTAACAAAATCTTGGTTTCTTGTTATGGTAATGTTCATACTTAAAAAAAAAACTCCATAACTTTGCATTTAGTACTTTTGCAAACCATGAGAAGCTGTTGTTTGTTGTAGTTGGTGAAGAATAGGTTGTGTCAACTTTTTCACCACATAGTTGTGCTGAATTAGAGGACAAGCGTGAAGTTTGCAGACACTGGTCAGTATAACTTCTTCTAGTGTGTAGTGTTTCTCCTTCCTGCACACTGAGTCTGCCTATCTGAAGGGAAAATCATCAAAGCATACATCAAAGATAGGTGAGTCTCTTGAAACAATCCTAAGCCTGAGAGGGCTAAAGAGAGCCCTGCAGCAGTGGCCACATGTCTTGAGTTCATTTGTACTTTTAAATTTACTTCCTCACTGGACAACTCTGTAATGAGCCCTTACTACATACACTATACTTTGTGCTGTTTTATTGAAGGGGAAAAATCACATAATTTATAGACATTTCATCCCTTAGATATTACTACAAAGAAATGAGATCTTTGCTGTAAAATTAACGATTTTATGCTGAAAAATGAAAATAATTTATGGAAATTGTTTTCAGTTAATTGTTAAAGGAATGATATCTTTTTTCCTCTAAGCAAGTAGCAGTCACATCTCATTACAGACTGGCTTACTGCAGTGCTATTACTTTGGTTACTTTTTAAATCTCAGTAAAAGTGGCTGACACAGGATACAGCATCTTTTCCTCTTGAACCTGTTAACTGGGTGTTGATCTCTATTGGTTTCCTGCTTTTCCGGTCTGTAATAAAGGCGTGACATTTTGGTTGTAATTTGAAGATCAGTTAGGTATGGTGGCACATGCCTGTGGTCCCATCTACTCAGGAAGCTGAGATGGGAGGAGCACCTGAGCCCTGGAGCTCTAAGCCATGGTGCACTATGATTGCACCAGTTAACAGCCACTGTACCTCAGCCTGGGCACCATAGTGAGTCCCTATCTCTAAAAGTAAATCAGGATTACCAGAAGTCATATGTTACACATACGTGTGTGTATTTGTTCTGCATATTCTATGGCACCTTAATTTTGCTAATTGTTTCTTATGTGTCTCAGAGGGACCCATGAACTAGAAAATCATTGCTTTTGTCATTCTTGAGCAAACACTGAGTTTTGCTAAAATGTGGGAGTATTCTGTTATTCTAGAAAGAATGAGGGCTTTCGAGTCAGATTTGACCTCAGCTGTCTTATACTTTACTGTTGTATGACGTTAGGCAAGTCACTTGATGTCCCTCATCCTGTCCGCTCACCAGCATACCAGGGACTTTGTGGTATGTGAACGTCTGGATAGGGGCTTTCACCGTTCCTCACATATTATGAGCAAGTCTGTAAATGGTAACTTTCACTTTATCCTCTCCCTGAGATTTTAGTTGACTTAGTTAAACTTACTTTTCCCAAATGTTTTCTTTTTTAGTATTCTTTGAAACTGGAGAAAGGAGATTATACAGTTCGACTGCAGATTCGCCATGAGCAAATCAGTGACTTGGAACGCCTTAAAGACCTTCCATTTATTGTTTCTCATAGATTATCTAATACCTTGAGCTTAGATATTCATGAAAATCATAGTTTTGCACTTCTAGGGAAGAAGAAATCAAGCAGTTTGACACTACCACCCAAATATAACCAGCCATTCTTTGTTACTTCCTTACCTGACGATAAGTAAGTGATAACATTGCTTATACTTTCTGCCCATCTTATACACTGTAGTCCTTTTAATGCAAGTTTATGACATCCAGGCTAAATTTAGAATAAGTTGTCACTTACCATTTTGGCTGAAGTTATTTCTTCCTTTAATTTTTGAAGTCTTAGCTATGGGAATGAATTCAATGTGGAATTGTTTTCATGTTTTTCCCTTTACTTGTCTTTGTGAAACTTTCTGTTTTGTTGCTTTTTTTCTCTTTGAATTCTCTTATTTAGAATACCTAAAGGGGCAGGACCTGGATGCTATCTCGCAGGATCCTTAACGTTGTCAAAGACTGAACTAGGAAAGAAAGCTGTAAGTATCAGTTTTTTTAACACTGAAATTACCTATTTCAAAATTTCCATTTCTTTGAAGATAGGACTTAATTCCATATTTCAGAATGGGTAAAAGAGAAGATACTCTGGGAAAAAGCATTTTAATTCTTCTTTCCCAGGTTACTAGTGAAGGTCAGTTAATATTTGGTTGTCTTTTAAAATGTATTCTACTTTTGAAATATTTAGGCTTCTTTTTCACAAGCCTACATACTCAGGCCCTTGCACTTCCTGTGAAACATGTAAATACAAATAAAACTGGACTTAAAGAAATGGGATGTTTAAGATTAGAACATGTTCTAGAAATTTTACCAATATCAGATTATGGACATAGGAACAAATCAGATTATCTTGGGGTGCTTTTAAAAAGTAGTCAGAACAAGTATTACTCTAAATGTATTTCATCACACTAACACAGACCTGTCTCATTGGAATTTCACTTGGTTAACTAGGAAAATATGAGATACTTCTTTTGGTATTGCCTTTTAGTTTCAAAATTATGCTTTTTGTTAAAAATTTTTCTGGTTGTTGTAGTTTAGAGATAAATGTTAAAATTTTACAGGTACCCACCTGTTTTTGTTTTTTCCTTCTGTGTTTTCATTACAAATTTATTATGAGAATGGTGTTTATATAGATCTGTCACCTTTTGTCATAATAAACATTTCAGCTCAATGTCAGTAGAAGTTGTCATTCTTAACAGTTTCGCATTTCTCTTTAGTGTTCTTACAGAGCTAAGTAAGCCTGCTGCATAAATGCTGTTCTCAAAATTAGTAGATCTCGTACCTCTTAAGAATTATATGTATTTTTTGCCACTATCGAACCAAAAGCCATTTATTTACTGTCATTGAAGCATAATCGGGGAAATTGGTGCTTAGAAAAAGTTGCCTATCCTGACATTTCTTGGATCTCATTTCAGTTTGTACTGTTTATACATACATAGTTTAGTGTAATTTGAAGTAAATAAATTGTTAATGATTTGTAGTTAATACATGCACTGATTTGAGAAATCCTGGTAGTGTTTTTTGTAGATTTCATTTTCATGGGAAGCACAGCTGCTTCAGCTTTTGAGCTTCAGCTATGGATTTTTGTTCAGATGACACTTCTGAAGAGTTCGCTTACTTGTGGAGAGTATCACAGGAAAGCGGTGTTAGTAAAAGTGTTCTTTTAGCAGTTCAGAAATAGGTACTAATTCCTGGCTATGTTGTTTCAGGAGACAATTGGGAAATTAAATTATAAATGTGTGGTGGTAACCATGGTTGGTATTTATCAAGGGAGACTTTCCTGGGGGGAAGCAGTAACCTAAAGCTGTTGAGTTCATTATAATTCCATCACATTGTTTCTGGAATCTTTTCTCAGTAGTTTAGCATTTCTTGTTTTTTGGTAGTTGGGAAGGAAGGTAACTTGTACTTCACTTTGACTTTCATAGTTTATAAGAATGCATAGGCTGTGGGATTGTTGTGGTACCCTTTAATCAGACTCTAGACCACCAACTAAGTTTACTATTTTAAGAAATGCTTTCATAACTAATGGATTTTGATCTACTAAATTTTTCAATAAGAAGTTGACTTGTACTCTTAGTCATAACATATTTGAGTACTCTTTCTATTTAAGAAATGAAAGTGGCAATGTTGCTTTCTGTAAAAGCATGCCATCTTGATCACAGACCTGAGCCTTCTGAGTGCTGTACCACAGGTGGAACATAAACCAAAAGACAATCAGACAGAGGTGCTGTCTCCATCCTGTGTAGATTATGCATGTTTTCTTACAGAATGTCGTTCTAACTCCCAGGGGCAGTCTGCAGCAAAACGACAAGGAAAATTTAAAAAGGTACTGATTGTCAGTTCTTAAAAAAGATGTCTTAAAGCCTTATTTGCATATTAAACTTTTTTCTGTCACTATTATCAGCCTTTTTTTAATAAGTCTCCCTTAGTGTCCTTTCTTTGCCTTCTGCAGAGTAGTGCTCGTATCTGTACTTAAAAGCATTGTTGACATACTGCTTTTCTAAAGGTTTTTTCCCCCACCATAAATTCCTACAACACTCGTTTTCTCTGTGTATACAAAAATTTTAATGCTATTTATTTTTTGCTACAGATATAACAAGTAACATTTGAAATTTTTCATATTTAAAATTTTATAGAGAGATGAATGTGATTATTTTTAGCCATATAAGCTAAAGCACTGAATTATTTTAAAAGCACTTTTCAGTTGGATGATTTGATTAATAAAATGTTCTACCTTTTTAAAGTGAACTTTATTTCCTGCTCTTGTATCCATTCTGGTTCTGAAAGAGCAGAAACAATAAAAAGCAGTGGATGTAGCAGGGACAGAAATAAGGACTGTTCACTGGCAATTAAAGCTTACGCTAAGACTACAAACAGATTTTAAGGCCCTCGCTACTGAGTGGTCTGATCAGCCTCCCTGCAGCATATAAGCAATCTTTCATTTACTGTTGGGGCCAGATTTAACTCAGAAAAGAAAATTTCTACTATAAATATATTTTAGGGCTGGGCACAGTGACTCAAGTCTATAATCCCACCACTTTGGGAGGCCAAGTTGGGCAGATCTCTTGAGCTCAGGGGTTCAAGAGCAGCCTGGGCTACGTGGTGAAACCCCATCTCTGCAAAGAATACAAAAATTAACCAGGTGTAATGGCACACGCTTATAGTCCCAGCTACTCTATGGGAGGCTGAATGGAAAGATCGCTTGAGCCTGGTAAGCAGCGGTTACAGTGAGCTGAGATCACACCACTTCACTCCAGTCTGGACAACAGAGACTGACCCTGTCTCAAAACAAAACAAGCAAGTGTATATATATGAAAAGGACCACATATTTAATAAGCTTTCTGGTGAAGACCTGCTATGTCATTCATCATTTCCATTATTTCTTTTTAAATAAAAAAAATTACAGTGGGAAAATCAATAATGTCCTAATGTATGAACAAAAGATAACTTTATATTTCTCAATTCATAGTGATATGGAACTGGAAATCACCATTCTATAATAGCTTAAATTCCTTTATTAAAATGTCTTCTGAAATGTCCAAATTATTATCTAATAGGAAACAATTTGTCCAAACAAAATACAAATACTAGGAATCATCTTTCTGGATAAAGATCTAAAGATTGGTATTTCTCAACCAGGTGTCTTGATCAATTTGGTAGCCACAAAATGGGATACAAACAGCTTTTTTAAAAAACTAGGAAATGTCAGTTCATCAGACTCATAAAACTGTAATTTCATTTTACGTATTAATGTGTATGTCTTTGGGACATTGTGAAAATAGTTTGCAAGTCACTACTTTAGAGAACAAGAAAAAGGTATTCTAGGAATCCATTAAAAATAGAAGGCACTTATGACAAAGGCCATAGCCAATTATTTTTCTCCTTTTGGTTGACCTTTTGCAAGTTTTGGTGGATTTTGTTTGAATTAGGTTGTATAGTTAGAAAAACATAAATAGGAAGGCATTTCCTTGATGATTAGTAAAGCTTCATTTGAAGAACTTGGCATCTAGAGTTATCTCTGCTTGTTCCTTTCTACCATCAATGCAGGTACACACTAAAACTCTTATTTTAGAAATAATTAGTATTAGAGTTTTATGGTCATGTTACAAAGAAAAAAATACATGTATAATTTGTAGTTGATGAAGATAAATAGCATTTTGTATACAACTCATAATACATTTGTTCTCTGGGTTTCAGTGATTTGATTTCAAAAGGTATGACACCCTTTTTTTTAATTTTTTGTAAAATGCAATAATATAGTTACTTTTTTTTTTTTTTTTTTTGAAACAGTGTCTCACTCTGCACTCTAGGCTATAGTACAGTGGCATGATCATAGCTCACTGTTGCCTCCAGCTCCTGGGCTCAAGCGATCCTCCCACCTCAGTCTCTCTAGAGTAGCTGGGACTACACGCATGTGCCACTATGCCTAGCTAATTTTTACTCTTTATAGAGAGAGGTCTCACTGTGTTGCCCAAGGTGGTCTAAAACTCCTGGCCTCAGGCAGTCCTCCTGCCTCAGCCTCCCAAACTGCTGGGATTACAGGCATAAGCCACTGCACCCAGCCTGAATATTGTCACCTTTAACATCATAAATAGCACTCAAATGTTATATAAATCTTCAAAATAGTTACATGACACGTTAAAATTTTGAATATACAGTTGCTGATAATTTAAGGACTAAAGAAATTGCTATTTTAGACCACAGTTGAAACCATACTGCATTATGTTGCCTAAAGAGTAGTTACTGGTTTGGCAGTGAGTTTGACTTTCTAGATAGTACTGTTCAGTTTGAACGCTGTTGAAATACTTCATGTTTTCTAGATAGAGAATCATGTCTGTTAAAAAAAAAAAGAAAAGAAATACTTCATGAATAGTTGGAATTTTTTTTAAACTTACCATTAAATATGTACCATAGAGAAATCTTCATAGCATTTCTGCTCTGAAGATTCTTCTTGACTGTCTTTTTAAACCATAATCAAGATTTCTCAAGATTAAAGATACAAAATTATTTCTGTTAAATTGATACTCTGTTAAGCCATTGAGAACTGTCAGAAAAATCTTAATACTTATTGACAGAAAGAACAAATTATTGTGATACAGCAAGTGAAAAATAGTGCCATTTTTCTTTTGCTTAGAAATTAAAGCTGCCAGGTTTATAATTTTTACTAATAAAAAATTCCTATCCTGAAACATTTTGTCGGACTATAGTAGCATTTATAATTGTTAATTTGATGTATTTAATACATAAAATGCTGGTTACAAAACCTCAATTTTTGTTGCCCTAAGGTAATTCATCATAAACTTTCCTTGTCTCTTTTTTGCTTTTAATGATAGTTTAAGGTTGCTAGGATGTCTTTTTTCCTACTTTTTATAGGTCTTTGTTAGAATTAATTGTAAATCCTAGATTAATTTTAATAGATTGCTCATTTTAAATTAAATTCTCTTTTCTCTTGTCTATACTAAAACAATACCAAATGCCTCAGAGTCTGAGGAGGAAGTGCCTCACAACATATAGGCTGCCTACCTAAGAGCAGCGTACCTTTCTCCCAGATACGGCAAGGAGGTATGGGAAGCTCAGGGAGAAAGACTGGAGACCGCTCATTCTAGCACACTGGGTGGCAAAGAAGCTCGATTCCAAGGAGAATGGACTATATGTACAGAAAGCCAATATTGGAGGCCACTTAGCCCTTTAATTCCCAGACGAGTTGTCTTTGCTGTACGGATGACAGTGATGCAGTCTGTTTCTATAAGAACTTGTTGGTAGGTCAGCTCAGATTTTGCCCTTACCTTGGCTTTGCTCAGGGCAGTGCCCACCCAGAGAGTGAACCTTAGGAAGGAGAGGAGAAGGACAGGCAGCTGGGTCCTGAAAGAGCCAGCCCAAGTAGGCGACTTGTTTCCTTTCCCAGTCTCACGCGTCACATAAGGCCTTTGTTTACAGGTTCTGGCTCCCTGACCTTAGAGGGAAAATGGCAACCAGTGGCTTCAAGTGGATTTATGTGGTTATCTGACAGCAAAGTGGTTTTCTGTGCTTTAAATGAGTCAGTATGGGGATAGGAGTTAATATTTTGTATTGGAATGCTATTAGAACTACAACCAGAGTTCCCGTTGTTTACCGCTATATCATCTTATACCCCCAAATTGAGTTTACTTGTAAAAAGTGTTAAAATGGGAATATTTGTGTAGTATATACACCTAAAAATCCAATTTGGAGGGACGTGTGGACTGGCAGTATTATTTTTTTACTCAACCTATGTAAAGCTTTTTCAGTGAATGTCTTTTTGGTAACATTTATTTCAATTTTACGAACTTTGTTTATTAAAATGAATGTAGTATTTTAATTTAGCAGTAGTTTAAATATAAATCCGAAGATAGAATTTGAGGAACTGACTTAATAAATAACGATTTAATTAAGGACCCCCAGTTATTGTTTCAAAAACAAATCTAGCAGGTATAGCATGTGATTTCATTTCCCAAATAATGCTTTACTTTTCACAAGTCAAGACTTCTCTGTGAATAAAATAGATGCAGTTACTCTCCACTTCTCTTCTGCTGTCTTCAAAGCAAAACTTCTCAGAAGAACCACAGGCATGCTGACTCCCATTCTCTCTGTCTTCTCCAGCCTGTGCTGCTCCACTGTCCCCTGACACTGTTCTTGTCCAGGGCATCAGCAGGCTGTGCTGCCAGGTTTTCCCTTACTTACTTTTATGCCATATGCTGCCTCTCAGCTAAGTGGGCAGTTGATAATTTTCTCTTTTTTCATGGTGGTTTTCCTCAAGGCTTCCATGATCCTAGATGCTTTTTGCTTTCTCTTTCTTAGTCACAGAGCTTCTTTTTCCATCCCCCATCCCCAACTGACCTCATTCATCCACATATTTTTCAACATTATCAACAAACACATTGGTTCGACCTTTAAAGAAGATCTCAAATATATTCATTTTCTCCCATTTCTATGACCTGTTTTTTAGTCCACTGCAGTGTAGGCTTTCCTATAATCTGTTCTCCAGAAAGAATATAAACCTGGAGAGAGATCCAAGATGGCTGATTACTAGCAGCTCAGGATTGTAGCTCCCAGTGAAAGTGCAGAGAACCAGAGGATGCCACACTTTCAGATGCATTTTTGTTGCTCACAGACCAGAAGATTCCCAGTGGAGGAGCCCCACAGGTCGCCAGCGCGACTCTTGTGGCTGATGCAGCGGTTTTGCCGGCGCCCCGGCACAGCAGTTCTTGGTGCAGAGTAAACGGTACTGGGTCCCATTTTGGTCGACGTTTGGAGCTCCAGGAAGGCAGAGTTGCCTATTCAGCTGATTGAAAAAGGGACTCAAGAAGGAAGCCAGACCAGAGATTCCTGGGCAGAAAGGCACCACGAATCTTAACTCCGCTGTTTTAACCAGTGCGGTGGGTTGCTCAGATTCCGGCACTGGGAATCAACAAATTGGACATCCACTCAGAGACCTAATTTGAAAGTCAGTAATTACAAAGATGACAGGTGGATAAATTTACAATGATGGGAAGAAATCAGCTAAAAAGGCTGAAAATACCCAAAATCAGAATGCCTCTCCCTCTACAAGGGATCACAGTTCCTCATCAACAGGGGAACAAGGCCTGATGGAGAGTGAGTGCATTCCATTAACAGATTTAGGCTTCAGAAGGTGGATAATAAGAAACTTCTGTGAGTTAAAAGAACATGTTCTAGACCATTGTAAAAAAACTAAGAACCTTGAAAAAAGGTTTGACAACACTGCATGTTCTCATTTATGTTCTCGCTTTTGTCTCATGTTGAACAATGAAAACATATGGACACAGGGAGGGGAACATCACACACCAGGGCCTGTTGTGGGGTAGGGGAGCTCGGGGAGGGATAGCAGGGGGTGGGGGGATTGCAGAAGGATAACATTAGGAGGAATACCTAATATAGATGATGGGGGATGGATGCAGAAAACCACAATGGCATGTGTATACCTATTTAACAATCCTGCACTATCTGCCCATGTACCCCAGAACTTAAAATATAATAATTAAAAAGAAAAAAATGCAAAAAAAAAAAGGTTTGACAAAATCTTAACAAGAATAGACAATCTAGAGAGGAATATAAGTGAATTAATGGAATTGAAGAATATGAGTACTCCACAAAGTATGCACAGGTTTTAACAGTCAAATTGATCAAGCAGAAGAAAGGATATCAGAGGTCAAAGACCAACTTAATGAAACGAAACAAGAAGACAAGATGAGAGAAGAAAGA